TATTGGAGCTAGCCTGCCATAAAACCACATCGTCAGAGGATTGGAAGAGAGAAATAGGGACATTAGCAAACAAGTGGTTGATATATGCAGAAAATAAGTACGGGAAAAGGACTGCATTTTGGAGTACCCCGGAGTTGTTTACCATTGGTTTGCATTTCTTTCGATATAGCCTGGTGCATTGAGTTCTTCTGGAGAAGCCATGCTAATAATTGCCTGGGACAACCGAAGGTCTCCAGTTTACGAAGAAGAAAGTAGTGAGGAATAGAATCAAGAACAAATGAGTAGTCCAGAAACACGATGAATAAATTTACCAGTCATTCAAGAATTTGGTAATTTTATGTGCAAATGATGAAACTGGTCATACAGGTCATACGTGAAGAGGAGACTGGATGCGTCTACGAATGACACGTTCGGCTAGGTTATGACTAAATGAAGTTAAAACAACAGGATCGAAGAGTTTATTCGCCCGTTGTAGCAATGAACGAAATCGCTTTGCAAGATAGTTTCACCGTGACGATACGAACTAATGACCACAGCAAATTCTGCTAGCCGGATGTAGTCCAATACGAGAAGGACACTATGCTTGAGTTGATCAGCTTACGGTGTGTTTTTAAACTTATGAAGTACTTAGGTAAAAACTACTCGTATCTTATTTTTCCCCAGTTTTATGTTGCTATGACCAAAAACAACTGCCCTCGGGGCGACGTCAATGGAAAATTCTGTCTGAGTGATTGGCCTCTCACTGCGCGGTTTAGTTACCAACATACATTTTCGCTGGACAGCATTCAAGTCTGGACGCACATCGACGGCTGTGATCGTTGAAACGTTATTCCGTTTATGGCTACCCGCAACCGGCCGTGCAATCTAACACGACGTTCGTTTCTGTCATTTCAAGTGGCTGGTTGTGATTCCCAATCCCTTTTGTTCCAAACCAACCCGGTATCCTCCTACTCATCTATTCGCATCACGGCCGTCAGTAGTGTGGATATTTATGTTGATGGGCGCATCCTCTATTCCGAATCTTCTACCTGTATGAACTGTAAATCACTATCGATATGTCCATGACTAATTGAGGTCAATATGTTTTCAGTTTCGAATGAATTTACGCATCATCCTTTTCAGCTCAACAATGTTTCTTGTTTTCATTGCTTTGGTTGTCAACACTCTGCACATGCGTAAGATTAGCATTACCAATAAACAGCATTTAAATGAGTTTATAATGAATTGTGGCTGTTAATCTATCATCGTTTTTCTTCCTCTTCCATTCCATTTCTACAGGCTCTGGAAAGTGTAGGTGAGTTAGTTTATTGTCCTCAGGTTATTTAGTCTTGTAGTTCACTTAAGCCAACTAAGTTACGTCATCGCTTAGTGCCGAGTTTGAGAGAACCAGACCTACAACAACAACAGCGCCTGATCCATCCAGTTCTTTGGAGCCTTTAGCCTCATCTACCCGAACTGCAGCGAAATGCTCTTGGTATTTTTCGTCCCACTGATTTAATACCTCTGGGCAGATTAACTTATCCAGAGAAATCCATAAACTAGTGTTTGATGTTTTGAGTGTGCCTGTGATACAATTTTGTCGTGTCTGTTCACTTACAGTTTTTCTGATTTGGATTTGAGGGTGCGGTGATGTTGATCACGTAAGTGATTTAATAAAACCCGTTTTCCAGTCGGCAGTGGTCCTTTTACCAATTCGTATCGAGGTTACTTATTATGTTGGTAATTCAGGCGTATTCTTGGGGCTTGTTCCCCTCCCCTCTTTCCTGAGGTTACGCTCCCGTTGTTTACCAGTCGTTTTCATTTAGCTGAACGATCACAGCTTACTGCCGTATTCAGGCTTATTTGTAGCCTCAATGGTTTTGTTCTACACCATCGGCTGGCTGCACCCAAACCACTTCGTGAAAGAGCAAGGTTAACCGTTGCATGAACTGAACGGAACTAACTAAACTAAATTGAACATCGTTTTCCGTAACAGTGCATGTGATATATGTGTTCATAAATTAAACGGGACCCTTGTTGATTTCCTCCGCATTCGTTTGCATGCCATATACCATCGAGAGTTTTTCTCCAACGCAGAGAAACTCCTATATAAAGTCACTGATCACTTTAAGAAGTTCACTAGTGCAAACACAGTATCATCACAGATGATTATGCTTGTTCTCGCTTTTGTGAAATTCCTAAAGGGAACTGGGTGTATAACACTAAGAATTTTCACTCTAGTAGGAGATAGCTGAGGTTGGATCGAATCCATCAATCAATGTCCAGTTGGCTTTGCGGGTGCAAGAACCAAGTAGAGACAATCGTGAGGCATATTGTACAACTTCCCCAATGAAATCTCTCAATTATAATATCAGTCCCCAGAGACTTCATTTCATGCTGTTTGTTTGTAGTCAGTGCGGAGTGCTTTTCGTGCTCTGTATCCCGAAAGCGCCATGACTTGATTTAAGCATGCTAAGCCACATGTCTTAGCTTTGAAGGTCAGTTAGTATCTACTGCCTCCTATTCTATTGTTTGCACCCATCTCTCCGTTCATGATTCGTATTCACAGATATCGACGTTGGGGGTGATTCAGTTTCTCCACCAGTTACAGGTATTCCGAGTATGGTTGTTTGATAATCTCTCATTTCTCGTTCAACCCACACGACGCGTTCAATAATGCTGCACTAATCATACGCCCACGCACCTTGTGTTCGTCATTGTATCAGCGGTGATATTATTTATTTTCCCCTTCCCTATGAAGATGATTTGTTCGAGTTTTCCCAGTTTGTCTCATCCTGTGGCTCACGTCAACATAATGCCTAAACTGATCAGTCTATTTTGTAACTTGTTTGTTTCCCTTAGTTTGAATGCCATGTTACTCAATGGCCTACTGATCCGGCGCTCAATAGTTCGTGGTTCATACAACTATAGTTTTTCTCAGCGTACTGTGTTCCACTTATGATCACTATTTTAACCACTCAGCTCGCGGTTAACGAGACCCGTTTTGATCTGCATTGTTATCCCATTATTTCAAGGTATGAA